TCGGGCATCAGAGAAAGTAACCTGGTACAAACCTCTCTCTCCCTGCGAGTGTTCACTGAGCGAGAACAGAAACGGACCGCGCGGGGTCAGCCGTGGTGACGTGACGGATGGGGGGCGCTGGCCGGGCCCGGGCGCACGGACGCTGAAAGGGCCTTTGTTGCCCGGGAGCAGGTTCGCTGCCCTGGGACCATTACGCATTTCTTACAGGAATAACACGGCGCGTTATGAGCTCGCTCGGATGATAAGCCCTTTATGAGGGATGGAGTCTGCAGCCCTTCGCAAACAAAGGCCTCTCTGTCTGCGATTTCCTAGAAGTCAAGAAGCTAAAACTCACATCCTGCACAATGCCCACTCAGACGGACAGAGGGCCACTCTTTCAGGCCTCACCCCGCTTCCCCGGGGGCGCTGGGCAGCGAACACGAGACCGCGGCGGACGCAGCTACCTTATGTCTGTGTCCAGGTAGAACATCCCTGGGTCCCAAGTCCTCTTCCTTTCTTTTGAAACATCTTTTTCTTCCTTCTTTCTTTTTTTAAATATATTTTACTGATTTTTTATAGTGAGGAAGGGAGAGGGATAGAGTTAGAAACATCCATGAGAGAAAGCATCAATCAGCTGCCTCCTGCACACTCCCCACTGGGGATGTGCCCCCGGCTAGGGCTTTTTTTCTTTTTAAATATATTTTTATTGATTTCAGAGAGGAAGGGAGAGGGAGAGAGAGAAACATCAATCAATGGTGAGAGAGAATCATGGATCCGCTGCCTCCTGCACGCCTCCTACTGGGGATGGAGCCCGCAACCGAGGCCTGTGTCCCTGACCGGGAATCGAACCTGGGACCTTGCAGTCCACAGGCCGTCGCTCCATCCACCGAGTCAAACCAGCTAGGGCTTAATATTTTTTTCCATTCCCTACGCCATTCATTAAAAATGAGTCACAGGCCAGCGGAGGGGAATTAAGTCTCGCCTCCAAGAGGGAAGATTATCCAAAATAATGTGTGCATGTCAGAGGCGCCACAGTCATTAATAAAAACTTTGTAACTACTTTTGGTTGCTAATCCTCACCCGATTATATTTTTTCCTTTTTTTTTTTTTTTTTTAAGAGAGAGACTGGGAGGGAGGGAGAGAGAATCATCGATGTGGGAGAGACACATCAACTGGTTGCCTCCTGCCCTGATTGGGCCAGGGATTGAACTTGCCACCCAGGATGTGCCCTTGACTGGGAACCGAACCCAAGACCCTTTGGTGCAGGGACCGACGCTCTAACCACTGAACCACGCCAGCCAGGGTGCCATTACTTTTTTTTCTTTTTTAAATGAAATTTGTTGATAAGCAAATCTCAAGTCATGGTTCATGGCGACCAACCGTCGCAGAGGCTTAAAAAAAGGAAAAAGCAGCTGAGGTCTGAGGATCCTGGATCACCCGGGCGCATCAACAAGACATTTGTCTAATGCACCGCGGGGACAACAAGCGACGGAAAAGGCCGCTTTGTTCCAGCTTGGAAGTGCTTGTCACTTGCACCTCGGGCCACGTGCGATCTGTCTGCGGGGTCACATCGGCGACGGCCCCTCCCCTGGCCGTCACTGGGGGTTTACCGCTGACCAGCGCTCGCGGTTCTCTATCTGGCTCCACGACTCACTGCACTTAACACGGTGGCGTAGAGGCGGGGAGAAAGGGAAAAACCGTGTCAGGCATTAGCCTGCCAAACATTTAGGATGCCCGGCCGGTGTGGCTCAGTGGGTTGAGCCTCAACCTAGGAACCAGGAGGTCACGGTTCAATTCCCGGTCAGGGCGCCTCCCCAGATTGCGGGCTCAGTCCCCAGTAGGGGAGGAGGGGGGACATGCAGGAGGCAGCTAATCCTTGATTCTCTCTCATCATGGATGTTTCTGTCTCTCTCTCCCACTTCCTTCCTCTCTGAAATCAATTATCCTATATAATAAAAGCCTAATATAACCTCCGCCTCCAGCGAAGACGTCACAGGAAATGCTGTCAGAGCGTGAAGGGCTCGGATGGTGCTCAGGACACGAGCAACCAGAAGACCTCGCCAGAGGAGCCGTAAACAGCGCGGGCCCTCCGGCTCCACCGCCAAGAGCCTGGCTCTGGGTTTGGGCCTGGAAATTCGCTCTGTAACAAACATCTCGAGTGACTCTCTCTCTCTCTTTTTAAAAAATATTTTTTAAAATTTATTTCAGAGAGAGGAAGAGAGAGGGAGCCTGCCAGCTGTATTCTGCCGAAAATGGCATGAAATACCCAACCCGCTTTCCTTGCTGCCAAAAATCCATGACGCAGCCCGGCCCGTGTGGCTCAGTGGTCGAGCACTGACCTAGGAACCAGGAGGTCACGGTTCGAATCCTGGTCAAGGGCACATGCCCGGGTTGTAGGTCTAATCCCCAGTGGTGGGGGGGCGTGTAGGAGGCAGCTGATGGATGATTCTCTCTCATCATGGATGTTTCTATGTCTTTCTCCTTCCCCCTTTCTCTCTGAACTCAATAAAAAAATTAATAAAACAAAAGCAAAAAAAAATATCCATGGGAACAGGGACCCCCCCTAAATCTGGTGAGGTGTCACCTGTGTCAGGTGCACATGGAGATCAGGGGGCTCCCCGAATTCCCGTTTGGGGTGGAAACTGTATCTTTCATAATCACAAGCTACATGAAGATGACTTCCCGTGCACTTGAACTCGTCCACGTCCCCAGAAGTTCAGAAGGAAGACATAGAGCGACGAGGATACACGGGAAAAAGCAAGACGGCGGGAAGACACGTCCGGCCATTAATACATCTTCACGCAAGGACCTCGGAAAATTAAGTCCGGGGAAAAGAGCTAACAATTTACATCAGAAAGTGTGTTTGCTTTTTCTTGGACAAAAGGTCCGGCGACTTCCCCTGCTGCTCACGACTATCAGGAGTTTATCAATCTCAACACAACCCAACCTACATAATTCTTTCCACTCTGACTAACACTGGAGCCCGTGATCGCAGGCAAGGGGTGTGCATCTGCCAATGAAAACAGAGCGAAGTCAAAGTGGACTCATGTTCTCTAGAAACGTCCCCATGGAGACATCCTTCAAACACTTGCGTCTCTGGCCCGGCCGGCGTGGCTCAGGGGTTGAGCGTCGACCTATGAGCCAGGAGGTCACGGTTCGATTCCAGGTCGGGGCACGTGCCCGGGTTGTGGGCTCGATCCCCGGTGTGGGGCGGGCAGGAAGCAGCCGATCCATGATTCTCTCTCATCATTGATGTTTCTCTCCCTCTCCCTCCCCCTCTGAAATCAATAAAAATATATTAAAATAAAATAAAAAATCTTGCACCTTTGTTTCAAGATGACTCAGAAACCACCTACCACTGATCCTGAAAGGAACAACTATACTGCAGACTTACAGGTCAAAACAGCTATCTGAACAGCCAAGGCAGAAAAGACGTACAAAGCCCCGTGCTATTGGCTTTTCAAAACATCATTACTCATTTTATGGATTGAAAACAGGGACGTTTGTAAACTGTGTGGGTCAACATGACCAGAGGAGAAAAGCCAGGTCTCTGGAGGGACGGGGAGCGGGGGAGCACCCCCACGCTGTTGCAATCACATCTGTGGGACCAGCAGGAGGTGACAGGACACGTTCCCTGGATAATCGTGGCAGGATCGGCACGACCTGCGTAAACCATCCTTCCTTTGGGCCCCAGATGTCATCGACTTACTATTTGAGGCATCGGGTCAAAAGCACACAAGGTATGTTTTCTTGGTTCAAGAAAAAAAGGTAACAGAAGGGAATTTAAATGAAAAAAAACACACAAAAAAAGGGAGGCAAACATGTACAACAGCCCATCAGGTGTGGCTCAGTGGTTGAGCATCGACCTATGAACCAGGTTCGACTCCCGGTCAGGGCACACGCCCGGGGTGCGGGCACCATCCCCAGTGTGGGGCGTGCAGGAGGCGGCCGATCCGCGATTCTCTCTCATCGTGGATGTTTCTCTCTCTCTCTCTCTCTTTCTCCCTTCCTCTCCGAAATCAAGAAAAATATCTAAAAACAAAAACAAAACCAGACGGGTTTGTGTCTGTCTGCGTTCTTACCTCGTACGACCAGACGCACTGCACCCCCGCGAACCTCCGCACGCAGCGGCCCACCTCCACGTCCTCGTGGGTCGTGTACATCTCCCGCAGGCACTTGCCGATGTGGGGGACCATCCGGCGCAGCACCTCGCGGCTCATGATCACGCCGGGCCCGCCCATGCAGAAGTTCTCCCCGGGCTCCAGGGCCAGCTTGCCCATCTCCTCCGTGGTGCCCAGGCCCGTCTGGCCCAGGAACAGGGGCTCGCTGCTGTTGAGGCTGCGCAGGAAGCTCTCCAGCCGGTCCCCCTTGATGTACACGTCGTCGTCCGCCCGCATGAACCACTCGTACTGGTCCAGGTAGTGGTCGTGCATGTACTTGAGCATCATGAAGGACTTCTTCTGGGGCGGGTAGGAGTCGTCCACGCCCCGCAGCGGCACGATGGGGATGGGGATGGACGTGTCGGAGCCCTCGCTCGAGAAGAACTCCACCCGCCCGGGGATCGTCTTGGACCACGTCCTGGAACGGGAAACGGAGGGGACAACGTGAGAGGGCGGCCCGGGCAGCCGCTGCTGCGTTTCAAAGGGGATCTGATAAGAAGCCACTTGATCAGCGGAAGCCCTCGCGCCGCCGGGGGGACTGCCGAGTCCCCATTCATTCTCAGAGAATCCCAACAACAACAGAAAAGGGCGAGGGAGTGTTGAAGCGGGTCCAGGACGGGGGAGTTTTGGCGACGGCGGGAAACCCGATTACCAGGCCACCGAGGGCGGAAGGTACAGGCGAATTTGCTGATACTCTCAGCTCTCTGGCGACAAATTCCTCCACTCCACAAAATAAAAACGCAACCAGGCCGGCCGGCGTGGCTCAGTGGTTGAGCGTCAACCTATGAACCAGGAGGTCACGGTTCGATTCCCGGTCAAGGGCACAGGCCCGGGTTGTCGGCTCGATCCCCAGTGGGGGTGCAGGAGGCAGCCGATCCATGATTCTCTCTCATCAATGAATTTTCTCTCTCTCTCTCCCTCTCCCTTCCTCTCGGAAAATAATAAAAAACGTATTTTAAAAAAGAGATGAAATAGTCAACATGAAGGAAAAACATCTAATATTTCTCAATCAGTGAATATAGCCACAGTAAGAAAAAAAACACGGTTCCCCCCCAAATGTCCTACCCGGTATATTTCTCTCACGTAACTGCTATATTTGGGTTTATTATGGTGACAGTGACTTGAAGGATCAAAACAGCATGAATTCCTAATGGGAAGTCTGAGGGGTAAAGGTGACTTTCACCTTTTATTCTGGGTTAGAATTCTGTGGGGTTTCTTTATAATATATTTTTTATTGATTTCAGAGAGGAAGGGAGAGGGAGAGAGAAACATCAATGAGAGAGAATCATTGATTAGCTACCTCCAGCATGCTCCACACTGGGGATCGAGCCTGCAACTCAGGCCTGTGCCCTGACCAGAAATCGAACCATGACCTCGTGGTTCATAGATGGACGCTCAACCACTGAGCCACGCCGGCCGGGCGGTTAGAATTCCGTTGGACTATCCATCTCCGACCACGTCAGGGTCGAGTCGAACAAGACTTTAAACTTGACAAGTGTTTTCCTTTAAGACACCAGGATCCTTCATAGAGAGACTGAGGGTCAAAACCTGGCCCACCAGCCAGACCGGAGCGACCGTCACCAACACCCTGAATGCCTAAACCATGACTTGAAATGAGGTCATTGTCCAAGAAGAGAGACCAATGAATTTCAAAGGCAGACAATCTAACCTCAAACCACCGCCAAAGCCTCTGTGCAGTTTTATGGTTAACTCCACCCAATTCTCTTTTCCTTTTTAGGGAACCCAGGGGGAAACGCGTGGCCCCTTTCTCATCTTAAATGACTGGTGGTTGGAGGCAAATCTCTTAATATGACAGTTTTTTTAAAATGTTACTTTTTAAAAATATATTTTTTATTCATTTCAGAGAGAGGAAAGGAGAGGGAGAGAGAGAGAGAGAGAAACATCCATGACGAGAGAGAATCATGGATCGGCTGCCTCCTGCACATCCCCTACTGGGGACTGAGCCTGCAACCTGGGCATGTGCCCTTGACTGGAGATGAACTATGACCTTCTGTTTCATAGGTCGATGCTGAAACACTGAGCCACGCTGGCCAGGCTAAATTGATTTTGTAGAGAGAGGAAATGAGAGCGAGAGCGAGAGAGAGAGAGAAGCAATGATGTGAGAATCATGGATTGCTGCCTACTGGGGATCAAGCCTGAAACACGGGCCTGTGCCCTAACCAGGAATCGCACCGGCGACCTTTTGGTGCATGGGATGATGCTCCACCACTGAGCCACCCCGGCCAGGGCGATCTGAAGTTTTCGTCAACCCTCCAATCTCAAGCAATTACGCTCTTTTCGCTTCGGGCACCTGTTGTTTAAACAGCTCCTCTGCGTCAGAGGGCTCTCAACATGCACGGTGATCGACTGTCCTGGGGGGAAGTGGGGCGTGGGTTAATGATGTGAAAGAAATGAAGGGAAAGCTGCTGTGACAGGGACAGGTCAGCTCCCTCACTCTCCCCAGCAAACGTCCACTCTGCCATGGCCACGGTGGCCGCCGGGCACAGAGCTCCCACTCAGCAGAAACCACAGAGCACTGGCGGAGGCCGTGCCCGCCGGCTCGGCTTTCCGCCGCCTGATAATCGGCTCTTGCCCGAGCCCAGATAAGACAACTGAAATGTGAGCGTGCCAAGCAGCCTTCTGCCAGCGAGGGAATCACAGCCGGGCACTGCAGCCGGCCCCCGCCAGCCCCAAGGCACCCGCTGCCGAGTGGGCATCTCCCGGGTTTCCGTCTCTACGTCGTGTCGCTTTAAGGACGACGATGTCAGATGCATTTCTGGGCGAAATTGCATCTCTGGCGTGACCATGGTCCTGGGTCCACGCTCATCATGTAGAGATGCGTTTACAAAGTGGCCCTGGCCGGTTTGGCTCAGTGGATGGAGCGTCGGCCTGTGGCCTGAAAGGTCCCGGGTTCGATTCCGGTCAAGGAAGGGCACGGACCTCGGTGGGCAGCTCCACCCCCGGCCCTGGTTGGGGCTCATGCGGGAGGCAAGCAATTGATATGTCTCTCTCGCGTCGATGTTTCTCTCTGTCTCTCTCCCCTTCGCTCTAAGAATCAATGGAAAAATATCCTCATGTGAGAATTAACAACAACGATACCCACAAAAATGTTTTTAAAAAGTTTACAAAGCGGACAGTGGTATATAGACGCATGGTGTGGATTATTACTATTATTAACAATGTATAACTCTACCTTCAAGTGCTTACTGTTTGTTTGTTTTTTGTTAATCCTCACCAGAAAATATTTTTCCATTGATTTTTTTAGAGCGAGTATTGGGAGTGGATAGTGAAAAAGACAGAGAGAAACATCGACGAGAGAGACACACATTGATTGGTTGCCTCCCACCCGTACCCTGAGCAGGGCTGGGGATTGAACCTGCAACTCAGGTATGTGCCCCTGACCTGGAATCGAACCCACGACCCTCTGGTCTGGGGTCCGATGCTCTAACTGCTGAGCCACACTGGCCAGCCCTACTCTGGCTGTTTCCGAATGAAGGATCAGAAAGGATTTATTTCACTTTCTCCTTTGTGTTCTCCACATTTGCTAGATTTTCTGCGACCACAGAGAGGTGCTTTTAGGGTTAGGAAAAAAAAATTTGTATTTGGGGGAAAGCTTTACGCTAAAGAGCATCCAAAACGCACTAAAAAGACGAGACAACAGGAACTTTTACTTGTGCAGTAAAAACAGGCTTCACTCTACTCAATGGACAAAAACTCAAAGACGAAAGGAGTAAGGAGTAAGATTGAGCACTTTCTCTCACAGTTTTCTACACTTTCAGTTTTGCTATTTACGATAGGTAAGAAGGGGAGATTGTCTGTGAGTTCCCCCAAATCACTACGACACATGTTGACCGAGGGTCACGGTGCTAAGTTTGAAGGGACTCAGATGATCAAATCATCTCAGAATTTGGAGTCAAGGGAGGGAGGGAGAATGAACCAGGAGGTCACGGTTCGATTCCCGGGCAGGGCACATGCCCGTGTTGTGGGCTCCATCCCCAGTGGGGGACGTGCAGGAGGCAGCCGATCTAAGAATGATGACTCCAGGCCTTGCCGGAAGCCGAAGCAACAGGCTCGGGCAGATGTCAGGAGCGTGATTCAGGCCGTTACCTGGCCTGACTGACGCACATGGGGAGCGGCACGGCCGGGGCGCCTAGCTGCAGGCGCCGGCTTCTGTGCCTGTGGCTTCCGGATGTGCGGTTTCCTCTTTGAATAATCGTTAACTGTCTCATTGTGCAAGGACCTAACGCCGTGAGCAATCTCACATTCTTTTTGAAACGAGGTACAAAGGTGGGGAGATTAAAAAAAAAAAAAAGACAAAATCAAATTACAGTCACCTTTTTTTTTGTTTGTTTGGCTTTAACAAAGCTGCTGGCGGGTGGGTTACAGGTTTCCCACCTGGACAATGGCCCGGGCTCCGGCCCAGGAGCGGTCCCAGGGTATCAGGAGCTAACAGCAGCCTGCCCTGCGAGCAGTGACCGCAGGTCCGCCCTCGCTGAAAGGCAGGATTAGAATGTGGATACTGAGCGCACAGGCAAATTCTGATCTCATGACATGGTCCCCAAGTTCAAGTGCTGGGCAGCTATCTTATGGACCACCGAAAAGTATAAAATGCAAGGAATTTTTAAATATGTTTTTAAAATTGATTTTTATTTTTTTAATATATATTTTTATTGATTTCAGAGAGGAAGGGAGAGAAAGAGAGAGACAGAAACATCAGTGATGCGAGAGAACCATCGATTGGCTGCCTCCTGTACGTCCCCTCTACTGGGGCTTGACCCCGCAACTGGGGCATGTGCCCTTGGCCAGAATCGAACCCGGGACCCTTCAGTCCCCAGGCTGATGCTCTATCCACTGAGCCTGGCTAGGGCTACAATTCATTTTTACAGAGGAAGGGAGAGGGAGAAAAAGAAGGAGAGGGAAGGAGGGAGAAACATCCATGATGAGAGAGAATCATGGATTGGCTGCCTCCTGTACGTCCCCTCTACTGGGGCTTGACCCCGCAACTGGGGCATGTGCCCTTGGCCAGAATCGAACCCGGGACCCTTCAGTCCACAGGCTGATGCTCTATCCACTGAGCCTGGCTAGGGCTAAAATTCATTTTTACAGAGGAAGGGAGAGGGAGAAAAAGAAGGAGAGGGAAGGAGAGAGAAACATCCATGATGAGAGAGAATCATGGATTGGCTGCCTCCTGCACGCCCCCTACTGGGGATGGAGCCCACAACCCGGGCATGTGCCCTTGACCGGGAATCGAACCGTGGCCTTTTGGTTCCTAGGTCGACGCCAACCACTGAGCCCACTGGCCCGCCTACAGCCTGCATTTAATCAACCAAAAACGAATGTACTGGGCTACAGAACAAATGACGGTGGCGATAAATGCTTCCCACACCACCGGGTTAAAATGAAAAGGTGGACAGCGCC